GTCAATTATCACTTCAATCATATGGTTTGCAGACACCCGCCTATTGTTCAATTACAGTGTAGATGGAACGCCAGCAATACATTGTATGTCGATTAGATTCATATTAACATGGCGTGGAGAACCACAACTGTTTATCTTCGAGGAAATCATTGATTTAACCACAACCGGTTTTTTGGCAAATTTCAGTTTTTATACCTTCACCTAGTCGCAAATGTGGTTTATCAACATCATCAGCTCAATTCCTCATTTTTTTATTTTATCCATTTGTACTTGCACAATGAATATCATGTAACGAACTTTTATAGAGTAGATTTATTTGATGATTCACGAGCAATCAGATTTTCAACATCGTTAGCAAAACATATATGAAACTTCAGGAAAATGGAAATTCTGTGTCTTTTGAGAGTCACGATTAAGGCACAGTAACGGTTTTTCTCGAGTAAATAAAATAGCAGCTAAATAATAGTAACTTAAGTAACAGCGAAGAAATGTGCTAATTAGGCACGAAAAGGATATGATGCTCACTCAGATTTAAATTCTAGGAAGGAAAAACCTGGTATATTGGAATTCTGCCCATTCACACCGCTATATCCGTTATTGATTGTGACATTAAATAAAAACGGAAATCATTAATATACATTTAATGTGTAAGTGAATCATCGAATGTCACGCTCCATTCACACTGCCTACAATTTTGTACTACAATTTTTCGTTTTTTTTTTAAGAGCTGTGAGGAATAAAATAAAACCTACTACCCACCTGACAACAAACCAAATATTTTCATGATTATTCTACGGTTTGTGGTAACATTACAGCATAAGGATTTATTGCCAATAGTCCGATGGAAAATGGCATAAACTAAAACAAAAAACGAAATGTAAGACATATTTGTGGTGCAAATACCAATTAATTTCAAAATTTGTCGGCACCTTCAGAAAAAATATTAACAAACCATTTTTGCAACAAACAAACTAGCTGGTTATAAAGGAAAAACTGTAAGTGTTGCCGTTAATTCTTTGACCATATCCGCATTTACGCTAAAACTACTATTGGTACTGTTAACCATGATGGCGACTTCGTTATTAGAAAGTTGAAATCGAAAGCGGTCTTGAGTCCGCATTCAGTGGTACGACATACTGAAGGTTAATTTAAGAATATGTTCATTACTTAGACAGTCAAGACAAATATTTCGGAAAGTTTTTAAAAATGTGTAGTGACTTTACGTGCAATATTGGAATTAAAAAATGATTTCATGTGTGATCCTAGTTATATTGCTGTGTTCTTCAGGTAACTCGCACGTACATTTTTATCCGTTCTTTACTGCACCTTAAAATTCGGCTATAGCAACTGCTGTCGTGACCAAAAAAATTGTCTGTTTCTTCATTTGTTCATTTGTGCTTTGTTCTTGCTTAAAGGATTAAAATAATTCTAATTAACGTTTTTACTCAAATAAGATTTATTACTCAGACCGCAAATAAAATAATTTCAAAAAACAATTTCGCTATATTAACATATCGAAGTAGCAAATCAAAATATGTGTATAGGTAGTATATGTGAAAATACCTAGAAAATAAAGCATTAGATAAGCTTAATGTGAATATACCTATTGATTGGAGTGAACTGTAAGTACCTATTAGGAGTTTCAATCAGAACATTTAAATTGATTGAACGAAAATTTGCAAAAGACGAAAATTTTTAACAAGTACCGAAACTCATTTTAGAAATGTTTTATTAACACTATAAATCAAAGCAACTACGGATTTGCTCTCCAAAAATATGGTTTTACCTTAAATAGAATAGTAATCTTGACGTCAATGTTGCAAAACTCTTTGAAAAGTAGGAACTTCAAGGGACTTCAGCCAACGACTCTGACCTTCAGAAAAAATCATAATCAGGTACAAATCTTTCGGATAAAGTACCAAGTATAGCCGATCTTGGATAATGTTAAGTCACATCTGAGCATCACTATTTTTAGATCTTTCTCATCGAGTACTGGTGATAAATTTTCCTGTGATAAAACCAAAAAATTAATGTTTTTGAAAAAGAGCAGGGAAAATGTAGACTTTACTAAAGACTGCAAGTGACCGATCCCAACATTTTTCACTTTTCAGGCCAGCCATTACAACAGTGTTTCTTTCACTGAATACTCGCATATTCCAGAGGTTTTAGAGGTTTTACTGGCCTCAAACCACACAATTTTTTTGTTGGTCGGCTTTGATGCAATTAATTAATTTGCTCTCAATTTGAAACGTCCCGGCCGTCAATAAAGCGCTTTTATCAACCACATTTATATTGTTTGGCAACAGCAATGCATTTAGTTTCATGAAAATAGATGCGGAAGGTTTTCATGTGCCATCGTTTCCTAAATACAAGATTTTACAATTTTCGCTGATCTAATTTTGGTTAAATTGACGACTTAATATATTTTTACACACTGATAATAATGTTTTATAGCAATTAAATATAAGCAATGATCCAATATAAGCAAAAAATTGTGCCTATACTCACTCAAGGAACTCCACAAAATAATTTTTGTTGTATGCTAAATATGAATGCCTACGTTCACAAGTAGTGTGCGGCCTATCTGTGCAAAAATACATCAATATCAAGAACCACAAGTGGTTTATTTACCGTCCAAGCAAAAAATGGTGAGAGATAAGTAGCCAAAAAGACCAACATAATTTTGTTCAACGACACGTTAGAAGCGAAAGATGGTGGCTCTTTACAAATCTTGCAAGTTTCAAGAAAGTAGTATGGATACAGAAAATTAAGTCAGCTCAGAAAAAACCTATGCCGGAAGTGTTATAAAAGGCTTGTGTAAATTATATTATACTTAACATCAAAGGTAGTTCTGATGTACTCGGAAGTTTTCACATTTTACGAAAATCGGCTGAACAAAAGTCTTCTATCAGATGCAAAAAACTGTACCAACATCAAGAGAGCTGTTCTCCTTATTAAAACCTATTCCATTATTAGATTCCTTGGATTGTTTCATTTATCATAAAACCATAAAGATGTTCTAATATTTCCTGTCTTAGCAATTATTCTAGGCTAACAGATTAAGAATTAATTAACACAACTTAAACTAATTGGTTGGGACTTAAACGAGCGATTCCATATTCACAGCGATATAGACTCTAGAGATATTCTAAATAGAACGTCTCTGCATTCAAGGATCCAGTTAGAGCACACGTAAATGGGTCTATTGAGGAGAGTGGATATGTTGTCGACGTATTTCAGAAAATGTTGGTCTTGCAGATTATAGAAACCTTGCGTAATGAGTCAAGCAATCACAATTACTTTTTCAAATGATCGACAAAATTTCGAGTAACCAGTTGCATTGCAAATTAAAAAATCGATATTCGAAATTTGACTCAATTTTATTGTATTACAAAAGCAAACTTTGTTATCCCTAAATATTAATTGTAAACAGCTCATTAAAATGCTTCTAATTAATAGAAAAACTGATGGTAATTGGCAAGGGCGCATACATGGCAAAATTAGCTAATATCTCAGCCGAAAAATAGGTTTGTCAGTTACCATTAATTTTTATAAATAGTTGGCTCTGGTATTTGCTCAACTTATAAAAGGAACGCGTACTTGATTGAGTTCTGCGCCTCTTCTCAGTGATTTAGGATTTCCAGCAAAGCTCAGAAGGGACAGATCCATTCCAGAAAACCATTTTCATAATTGTCAGTTATATGCGAACATGTCCGATATACAGTTTGCCACTCTGAAGATTCCCAACATGTTTACACTCTTTATTTATTTCCTCAGTGAGTTTTTCATAAAGGTTATCACAGCTGTTGAAATGTTTGATCACACTTATGATTACGAGTCGTATGCCATTTTAATTATTATTAAATTAACAAATTTAAATAGTGAAATGCTGGCTTCTGTAAAAACGTAATGATATTATAATGAACTCACTCAACAACTAGGTGGAAAGCTTAGATCTACTGATGAAACCTAAAAGTTCGAAAGCGGTTTCAAGATTATATCCTGTTATTTAGATAAATGCTGCTTCATTTTCTAACGGACGTTTATTGAACTAAATTTTCATTGGTAATTAGTTAATTTTTAAGATAACTTGCATAATCTATAGGTTTAGACAGTCAATCATAGGAAAAATTTAGCCAGTATCAATTGCAGTCAGTTTCCCTGATTTGCAATGTTATACGATTACGCAGATCCAATCTCCCTCGATCCTAAATCAATGTTTCATATGTTTTTAAATTTGTTACTTTAATTTTAATTTTATGACTTGCTATATTCAGGACATGGATATCGGATAAAAACGCAACAATGTGAATAAGGAATTGTTGTGCATGACTATTTATTGCTATTTACTATGTCGCAAAGTGCCAAAACGAAAAATTTTATGCAGAATAGAGCCAATAATCACACTCATTAACGTCTTAAAAGAAAAGATCAAGATAACCTTGTATTGTTGGCTAGGAATATTCGTCTACAAATTCAGCATAAAACACACTTCAAAACAGAAATAATTTAAAAAATCAAGAAAATATTTATTAAAAGCAATATTTCGATACGTGTAATAAACCCCTACTTTCGGTCGAGCTGATCGGTAATACGCCATCCGAGAAACACCAAATCAAAAATCTGCAAAAAGCAATTAGTAACATAGTTAACTCACAAACGACAATTTAGAAACAAATGTGAATCATTGTTCTAACAAAGTCGATTTTTTTTCAGTTTTCAGTCAAGATGACGAAGGTCCATACAAAGGAAAATTTATAGGTAAACTTAACTCTTATCACCACCAAGTATCCGGAGACGTATATGCTGTAGACAAATATACTCTCCTCCTGACCTCGTTCAACTACGATGGTAATGGAGCCGATACCTTTTTCTGGGCCGGAGCTGCAAACAGGCCCGGCCCTCAAGGATTTATTGTTCCCGATTCACGTGGGAAGTATGTAGCATTTAATTCGAATCAAGGCTTTCTAATAAATACATTTTCTTGGTTTCAGAACTAATGTGCTTGATCGCTACTTTAATAAAGACTTCACTCTAGTTCTACCAGAAAAGAAAAAAATTACAGATATTAAATGGTTTGCCATATATGATATTTGGTCTCAAAATACGTTCGGAGATATTTATATTCCCGAAGAATTTGAACCACCAGTGGCTCAAAAAGTATCTCAACTCACCGGCAAAACGAATTCCATTAGTACAATTTCAATTGAAATCTTAGACGCTAAACAAATTAAGCTGATTGGATTCACTTACGATGGAAAAGCTAAAGATGCGTATTTTTGGGTGGGTGTTGGAGCTCAGCCAGTATCTAAAGGATTTAAAGTACCAGACGAATATGGATAGTAAGTAGCAGACAACCAGAATAAAAGTTACCGAGCTGGGTATATATTTTTTTGTCTATTTTTTTGTTCTGTTTTGAAATAACATGTATAAAATGTAAAATCACATAAAAAAAGTCAGACAGATATTGTAAGTAGAGTAGGTGCTAGTACCTAGTTTCTGCTTGAAATTATGCTAAATTTAATTTATTTAAAAACATGTTAAATAAAGTTTAATCAAATGCTCAATAATAAATTAACGGGCAAAAGTGAATGGGGACTTTTGCAATTTATTCCTAATTTTGTAACTCTAATTTATCATTTCAGCTTGGATTCCCTTAAGGCATATAAGAACAAAACCATAATCTTAGAAATTCCAGGGGATCTCACGATTTTTAATATAGATTGGTTCAGCATATTCGACCATGACACAAATACAAATCTGGGCTCGATTATTATTCCAGAAGCACTGAACGTTCCTCCCTCTTTGGTGAAAGTCACTGTAAGTAATTTAATCTCTTTATAAACGCGTAATGTCAATTTTCTGAAAATGCATAAAATATATAAATATGAAAAGTGGGATTGTATTAAACGAGATGTTGAAAGAATGTGTTAATAATTTGATGTCCGTGCTTTTTTAAAAACATTCGACAGCAGTTCAAAAATTTAAAAAAATATTGAACAAAAATTTTTTTGTAATACAGCGATAATTTGGAATTTTTGTAGTTGTTTAGAATATAAAATTAACTTGCTATTATGGTCACAAAAGTACTATTATTTCAAAAGGCAGTTTTTTTATATTGCTATAACAAGCACAATAGTAACATACGCTTGTGACATAAGCAATAACGTTATAACACAAAAATATTCAAAAACCGGTTAAAATTTTTGTAGCAACGTTGAAAAGTGGAAAATGTTGAAATCCGTCTGATAGAATGTTTAGTAAAACCACTTTTTATGTAAATACGCAAATGCAGAAAAAGAAGCAAATAGATTTCGTACAGGTCAGGATAAAGTCTTATATTTCAAACAGTTGAAAATGAAAAAAAAAATTAAATTTTATTTTAAGAATAACAATAAAGTGTAATGCATAATATGTAATGCATAATAATAGATCCTTCTCATTATAAGTAATAACCGGTATTGGTTCACGGGACGTTAAAATTAGACGGAAGCGTAAGGACTTACATGGCATCGATTTCTTGGAAATTGCTATTATTTTTCGCTAACTAGGATCATCGAGGTTATTTCTTCCACAATAATCTAGGAGTTTTTGCGAAGTGGCTAGCAGTCTTTATCCTTGGTGGTTTGATGGATTGGATTTGCTATTATTTTCTTTTATTCCATGGTTCGAACAGGTAAAACGGAACAATAATTGTGGTGTTTTACAAAACGTTTTTTTTTTTTTGCTTTAGAATAAATAATGGAAAATAAATATGCGATTGAACGTTTTCCAAAAACGTTCAATTTTTACAGATCATTAAGGGCTTAACTATAGCGATGATATGCAAATGATTTAGATAACTGCATGCGGATTCAAAACATTTTGATTAATTTCCAAGCAAAAACGACTTCAGAAAAATATTTAAAAATATACAAAGTTTTTCACATTTGGAATTATGGCTCCCGTCAAGAGTCAGACAAACTTTCTATATGGAAAGACTATATTTAACAAAAATTATAAACTCCTAAACAATTTGACTTTTTGATTTGATGAATTCTAATCACTTCCTTGAAAAATTTATTAAAGCTATGTTTTGGACAAAAGTATAAATGTGACATAATATTTTGAAAACTGCTTTGGATAGAATCATGAAGCAAAAATGATGGAAAATGAACCGAACATTAATTACTGCATTTTACTTTAATTTTTTTCATTAGAGAATAAAGCTTATTTAGCTTAATAGAACTAACTGATATAAATTTTGCTGTTGTCATGAATATGTGTTTACAATATTATAGACGTAGAATTGCAAAATTATCCGTGTCAAAAATTCGCATAAATGTACTATCGATATTAAATAAAATCAATGTACTCGATACCGTTAAAAGAAAGACTGTAAATCCGCAAAATATATATAATTATGTTGTGCCATAAGTGATGATGGTAGACACTCTTTAATAATTATAAAACAGTGTCTCGGAAAAATGTTGTAAGTTGTTTTATTCGGAACTCAAAGTTGAAACAAGTTCGGAAATTAAAATTTTCTTACAAGCGCAGCATTAGAAAAATACGGTATGAAAGAGCCAGAACTGAAAGAAGTACATAATATGTATATTGATGGTCAAATAGGCGAATGTGAAGACAAATTTATAACATTTTTAAATACTCGCACTTGGAAATCCTAAGTAACTACACTTAACTACTGATGCATTTGAGAGCTCATTATTTTATTTTTTTGCAGATTAAAATTTCTGAAATGGAAATAGGTCTTAGACGCATTTATATATATCGATGCATTTCATACATGTATGTATCTGCAGATCAGTTCTAAATTAAAGTGGTATTTCTATAGTCGGGCAAATATTTCCATCATTAATCCCCTTTACATTGGCCTCAATTATCATTCATCGGGAGTATTCAGATGATTAAGTGTCCTCAGCTGTGGCCAATTTATTGAACGAGTAAGCACGTAACTGTTATCTGCCTTTCGCTTAGTAATGTACAGAATCTTTCATGAAATTCTAAAATGAAAAACACTTTCGGAATTGCAGCGAGAAACATTTCCTATTGAAAATCAGTGACTTTGATCGGCCAAATGTTCTTGGCATCAAAAATGGTTAATCGAACGTCCCGAAACTATCTTGACAATAATCAAGTATTACTAGAAGCACTCGTAACATTATTGCTAAGTAGATTTTGCGATACGGTATTTAAAAGACGTTTTATTTAGAATCCACAAGTTTTATCATTCTTGGAAATTCCAATCAACGAAATAACTACCTACGAGGCGCGAATAAATTCATAACTAACTTAAATGACTAAATACTCCGATTATACATTAATCATAGAAACGACAGTTACTGATAATTATCTCCACACATTAAGACATAATGTCTGCGTTCAAATGTTCCATCTGTTTGGAAACATTACTGTAGTGAAACCTAACTTTTACGAGAGTCGACCACCGAAGTCGCAATATTTTCGGCTGAAAATGTCGACAGGAGTTCAAACAAAAACTGTTTGCTCGGTTTGCGTATGCATATACATGTTTGTGTGCCTCCATAGATGTAGATATATTAATAATTTTTAGCCCTCAAAGAGGGAAGCAAAAATGTTTGTAGAAGAGCATATTTCCTCAATAAGGCGTTAACGACATTGTTATCTCTAAAACCGTAAAGAGGAAAATATGAAACTTGAGGCCGATCGATAGTCAAGAGCTTTCATCTCGGAATATTTAGAATTGCTATTATTGCACTATTTACTGGGTTTGCTTTGACGAGTGTCTTTGCTGCTCTGGGTTTTATTACTAATTTTTAAACTCGAAAGAAGCAGAAGCAAACTGCGAAACCTATTGAACATTCTTATAGAAATCTGCATATTTACCTCAACTCTGTTATATTCAACGATTTATTTTCATAAAGTGTTTTATGACTTGGCTGTTGAAACAAATATTGAGACGGACACTATTTGGGACGTTGTGAAGTGTCTCAACTAAAGCCTGAAATATTAAAACTAGAAAACTCTAATATTCATGACCGAAAGTATTTTTTGTGAGAATGTACAAAACTTGATTTGCAATAAATCTGGAGAAAGAACCTGGTCACCTAATTTCGCCACATTTTATTGCATCGTCATGCTCATAGGCAAATAACGTTAATTTCGTTTTCATCAAATGCTGGTGTAGATACATAAATAAAACTAATCGGTTTAGAAAAAAAAAGTAAGGCATTCAGCTTGACAGATCAAAATTACTTATTTATTAACACAAAAATTTGGGTTTGGGTGTATTATTGTGGATCAGTATTACATATGAATTATTACTCGTTAACTACTGATCATATTACAATCTCATTTAGTACGGCATTAAATTATCTGATCATTTCAGCCTCAAAAAGATGATCTCCCTAATTGCATGCAGCTGCATAAAAACTTCCAAGTTTCTTGGGAGATCTTCGGTCCGGCCATTACAATCCAGCTCGCCGGGATGGTAGATGAAAATGAATATCTGGCCTTTGGAATATCAGGCTCCAAAGAACAAAGTCAAATGATTGGAGCTGACGTAGCTGTAGCTTATATAAATGGTTATCAAGGATTTGTAACCGATTATAATATTATAGCGTTGACACCGGTAATATATTTTTATAAGGTATTGTCCGAATAGCTCTAAATATTGTTAAACTTTTAGTGCGTCAAAGTACTTGGACAGTACAAAGGCGTCTGTAAAGATTCTGTGCTGGGAGGCCAGGAAAACAATCAATTGAACACAGCAGTACGGGAGAACGGAATTAATATTATCACATATAGAAGGTCACTTATATCATGTAAGTCATAGTCAGCTTCGAATATGGGAAAGAGATCGGATAGATAGAATTTCTTTAAAGTTGTCGAAAAATTCAACTTTTTGTCAGCTGTTAATATCTATAATGATATCAATCTTCACGTTAATGACGCTGAAGGAGCGTTTTGCATCCAAAATATATAAAAGACATTATTACAATCCGCTGAAACGCCCCCAACACAATTTATTCCTCTATAGCAGTTATTTGAATACACCTTTATAAATGCTGATACTACTTAATGACTGAACTAATTATCAAAATCGGATAAAGTTATTTAGCATCCTAATTGGCATATTTCCATTAAGTAAAAAAATTGTAACAGAATTGGCTTTTATTACGAAACATAACATCAACGACGAAGCGCTTTTACAGATTTTTTATATTTGATTGGTTTTTGAGGCCCTGCTATTATTAAACAATTTTCAAAATGTATGACAAAATAAATATTCTATATGGGCTCTACAACGAAAAATATAGATGTGTAACTTTTCTGATCAGCTATTTTTTTCTGTGCACTTTTAGCCGACGAGAGCGACAAAGAATTTCCGCTTGAGGGTTCCATTTACATTGTCTGGGCAATAGGAAAACTAGACGAAAATAATGAACCCGCATTCCATGACGTTTACCCGAAAACCAATATTAGTGTTGAACTGAATCCGAAGGAGCCAAAAAAGAGTTGCTATGCTTTCACCAGATCTGAACGAGAAGTGGGTGAACCATGGAGCAAAGGACAAATTTTTGATAAAACTATCCGAGTTTTTACTAGTACTATTGGACCATCCGGAGCCAAAAAAGGATATCAGGCAATAACAGGTATTTATCTTTCCATTAAAATAACGTGGTTTTAAGATTACCCGCAAAAAAAATGATAAGAAATCTGCTGTTTGCAACTTATCAAAAATTATTTTAAATATAGTTCCACCTGTGCTTAGTCTGAAAAAGTATCAGAATTTATATTGAGATAATTTGGTCCTAATGAGACATAGTTCTTGTTGCAAACAGAAGGCCTGATAATGGCTTTAGTATAGCCGAAATGTTGGTTCAAGGAAAATAGTGTTCTGCCGCTAACTTCCTATAGGAACATAAAATCGAGCACCTATAAATAAATGTTTTACTAATTAGCATCACGGCAATCAACAAACCACAACATCTATTTTCAGAGTTAGAACTCACAGAGTTTTCCATATTGTCATAAAAATTTATAATAATATGTTGCGTTAAATGAATTTGATTTTTGGGAAACACATGCATAATTATAAAAATTAAATAAAATGACTTGATAGCAAGCAATTAAAATTAACATTTTCCTTCACAACAAGTAAATGTTTGGATGAAAAATATGACCCAACTGTCTTACAAGACGTAGCAGATGGTCTAAAACAGATGGTCTAAAAAACACCGGAAAATAACGCGCACACACAAATAGAAAATGTTAAAATTAACCGAAACCAACAAACTTTCCATGAAAACAAGGCAATAATTTTAATATTGTTCCATAGTTCCGCGAAATGTAATAATTTGAAGAAAGATATGCGTTAATAAAATCGAATTTTTATGTCGCTCGGAGAACCAAAAAGAAAAATACCAACAATTATTGCGACACTGCTAAAAAGCTTTGGTCAGATACATTCGACGTTTTGAAATGGACATGAAATCTCATAGCTTCAATAGACTGTTACATGCTCAAAAGCTTCACTTTTCACAAGAACCAAATCATAACTTAATATCAATGTAAATTATCGATAATTTCATGCATATCGCTTCATCCGCTTAGAGCCAAATACTTTGTTAATCATTCGTGAGATTTAGTAAGCATCAGTAGATAAAGCCCATTAAAGTATACGCGTATATTTGCACAAATGGCAATCGCAGAATCGATTTTCTAACGTTTAATTCCTATCAGCAGCGCTATCGCCCTTCTGCTCGTTCAGAAATTGTTTTAACCCAAGATCAATGATATGTTATTCTGGGAAAATCCCGGATATCTCAGGTAATCCGAAAATTAATTAAATTGTATTTACGTAAGTACATTTATATTTCGAATCCAACGAATTGGACAAAGTCCTGGTTTGTTTTCATGTTTAAAGCTGCCATTGCAGTTGATAAACACGTTTTAGTAAAGAAAATGCCATATTTCATAAATTTCCCTCCAACTTTTCTTACGACTTTCATTAATGTCTGAAACCACTTAGAATCAAAGGGTTTGAGGCTCTATTGAAGCACGTACCTTTCTGTTGCCTTGTAAGTTTTATTCTGCTTAAAATTGCTTGAAATTGCTAACCCAGTAAAATAAATTGAATGCGACTTACAACTAATTATCGGCTAAAATATATTTCAACTAGACATTAAATCATTTAACAAAAATGATGAAAAAATTTTAAAAAGCATCATAAACAGTTTTCGATGTTCTGTGACCGGTCTTAAGATAGAGAGCAGAACAAGTAAAAGTTTTAGAACAACTGACGACTGTTAGTAAAAAGTTTATTGTTTAATAAAGTTTTATTTTCAATATTCTTGTTTTAGGCCACACATCCACAGCATTAGCGTGGTATATCAATGGGCTGCTGGCTCCAGAAATATGGCTTCGCAGAGGTCTCACATATGTTTTCAAAGTGAATGGAGGCAATGACCCTCATAGTCCTGAATATTATCATCCTTTAATTATTACTGATGATCCCCATGGTGGCTATGATCGACTGACCGACGTCGCTCAATCCAAAGTTAGAGTTCTAGCCGGAGTGGAATATTCGAGAAGAGGAAGGCCTAGACCAACTGCATGTAAGTTTCATATTAATTCATATATTTTTTCTTTTGTTAAATGTACATCTTACGGTTGCTTTTAAGCAAAAGTGTTGAAGTTGGTTTGCGAGCTGTTTTGAAAGTAAATAAGAATAGGCTGATGATTGGTTTTCTTCTACTTCTTCTAAGAAGTGCTATTGTGGTAATATAAATTTTCTTGCACTTGCTTGAATGCAACAATTTTCTTGTCACTTGTGCGCCCCAATTGTAAAATTTAGTTGAAAGGTGGCAGGTGAGGGGCATTAATAAAAATGTCACTATTTAATTATTTGCCGACTTTTCGACCTTTATTAGGCTCTTCTTCAGGGTCGCAATTATGCGCGAACTTTATGTAAAGCACATTCACTACACTGAATCCATCCTCAAGGCCATCTTTAAAACTGTTCATTATGCATCATTTCACCTGCAGTGCATAATTAACCAGACTCATGCTGCGATTACTTTTTACTTGAACCTTTCCTTATGTCTGACTCTCACCTCGCATTATATTAGTGCTAAAAAAGCGGATTTGAAAAAATACTTAAAAACGCAGAAAAATGAGTCTAATGAAGTTCGAAACGAAATTAAGGGATTTCAGCAACACACACTTAATGATTCGGCTCACCCTGTACATACATGTTGCATAACTGTTTGATAGAAAATGTGGTATACACGTAAAACTTTAGTTTTAAAACTGGCAGAAGGAAAACGTTAGTCGCAACCAACTCGCAGCTTCGAGACAAAAAGGTTTCGTTCGCAGTCACACCGCAACAAGAACTTTAAGTAGGAATGGCTAAGCACGGCATGGAATTACTGGCATTTTGCTGAACGATTTAATTAATTTTTCACCTCTTTAATTGATATTGAGTTTAGATATCATCAACTTAAAATTCAATGGAGAATTCAACATTGAAATAAAAAGCAGGGGGTTTCGTTTGAAGACAAGTAAGTTAATAGTAGTAAGATATTTCTGGACCATAAATAAATTTGGTATAGAAAAATCGAATTTAGAAGTAAACATTGCGCGTCTAAGCTCTTTGCAAAAAAATAGTCCGCTTAATTTTAAATGAATTTACAGAATACTTCTCGGACTCACTCTAGTATGACGCAGTAGATTACGAGCTCTTATTTGAGTACAAGACATTAACGATGCTTAGTTTGTTAAAACCATTCAAAATGCTATAATTTTGTCATTTTTATTTTTGTTTATAAGAAAACTTAAACTACATCGTAGAAGGCTTCACACACTGCGCGAATGTGGTCTAATGGTATTTTGCCTCATTCTGGGCGAAGAGCAATCTTTAGCCTAGGCGTCGACCGTCTCAATTTTTTTTTATAATTGAGAAATTTGGGTTTAAGCTTTTCAATTTTCCTTATACAAATGTTATTTTCGAGTGATTGTTTAAACGAAAATGAGGTATACACGTAAGAAATTATCGTTTTTATAGAAGAGGTATCGTTTTTATCGTCAGTTCCTCCTATATTCAATTACTGGTCACACTAATTTTGTATCGCAAAGGCTTTATTTTAACTTGATGCCAATACGATTTACTTCTGTTATTTTTTTTTAATTTCTTGCCTGAACATGGCGGTATACGCTACAAAGCAAGAAACTGGCGAGATCTAAATAATTAGAAAATGCCTTGTGGCATGAAAACACAGTGGTAGTGTGGGGCGGCACTTCGAGTCAAAATCCGACAAAGGCGTCTGAAGAACATCACAGAATTACTCCGCATTATTTCAAAACTTTTTATATATGAAATTGCTAGTGCTTAGCTATGTTAATACATTCATAGAGCATAGAGATTAGTTTTCCGCACCTGTATGTAGCTAATCCTCATATGTAATCAAAACTAATTTATGCAAATGTAAATTATTGACTGACCTCAATCAATAATCTAATTCGTCTCTAATGTATGCTTCCACTTTATAGCCATCTCCAAATATATCATATACGTACATGAAACATTCGACTTATTAAATATGAGTAATTATTTGTTTCAGCTGGTCGACTTTGTGTTTCCAAACATAAATCGAATCACGACCGACGATTGGATGACGACTTTGAGTCATTTAAGAAGTTCAACAGATCACTCGAGTGGTCGTGTGAAACTGGAGACCCTGGAACTTTGGAGTTTACTCCCAACTCAACTTGGCCTGATATTGTTTATTATAATTCATTCACTCAAGCCAATATGGGCTGGAAAATTCGTGTAATAGATAGTTTTAATCAAAGAGTGAGTTCTAGTGCCAACTTTTATACTGTGAACTTTTGTGTACTTTGTCTGTCAATTCTATTGAACTATTTTTTTGTGATTGAATGAGCGTGCGGAAGTATTCCTAATTTATTTTGTGTTTCATTAAATTGAATAATTGTATTTAATTTCATATCAATCGGATCAAAAATATATAGTACGAACAAAACTCATCCCAATAGTTCACGTTGAACACAGAGTTCTCAAGCCTGCAAAAACATACAGCAAACTATTTATTAAACTCGCTTCAAATTTGGCAGCAAAGATATAAATCCATACAATTATTATGAAACCAGGGCTTTATAAAGAAGAGCTACCACGTCTAAATATTTAGTTTATATACATCATCTGATCATTTTCATTTTACGTCCATACTTCTAGGTAGGTAATTGTGATAGTTTCATAATTTTGTACTATTTTTCATAGAAAATAAACATTTTGAAAAACCTCGATTTTTTGCATTAACCAGCACATACACAGCGTGTTATATATAGACCGAAAAACTAGGGATGGTAGAGACCGTCAATAGAATGATATTAGCTTCGTAAACATACGCAATTATTATTAATATTCCAAATACGCAGCGTTTTTGAGGCACAAGGTGTGTGAAGAAATTATAAATTTTATCCTGTTTTTGCGATCGGAATCTTGCACTTTTCAAGACATTTGACACAAATTTAGTTGAACACTGTATAACCCTCTGGGGTCGATTTTACGAGCAATTCGAGCCAAAAAAAATGACGATGAAACTTTCTAAATTAATATTTAGCATAATTTAAATATTAAAATGATTTTTTTCTGAATATAAAACTGAGAAAATCTGTAATTTTCTGGAGTTTTGTATTGAAAAATTGTATTGAAGTTGTATTGAAAAATAATTTCATATTTTTTAATTTAATTTTTAAATACTTGATTAGGAATAAAAATTATGTATCTATGAATACTGAAGAGTTTAACAACAACATAAAATAATTATCATTTTATCACCAGAAATCACGTTTTTCAGAGTTTAATCGATTTTCGGAAAAAATCATAATCTGAAGGTGCTTTTTTGCTTAGATTTGAGTTCAGCAGATTAAAATACGTAACCAACATTGTTGGCGCAAGACAAATTGTTACTTGCTAAAAAACTATGAGTGACCAGAGCAAAAAGTGTAAAATACCATATTTCCTTGGTTTCCATATAAATTTGCCGGCTGTGGAAATTATTTTTAGGTCTTCCGTATATTTTTTCTTTATTCCACATTACGTAAAGTATACTCGCGCCAGATTTCATCCAAATCAGTTGACCCAAACTTGAGATTTCAGATTTGCGAAGATCTTTTTTCGCACTGTGCATCGTTCAAAGCCCAAATCAAGGTTACTGTTATCCCCTAAAACATTTTTATGGTGCGCAACCGAAGAATTTTCTTAATTATTTGTTCAAGTTGAGTTGTTTTTCAGTTGCTAAAATATTAATGAATCTAAAATCGCATTAATGCTTTCACGATTTGGGAGCACAACTCGATTTCACTGAATTCTTTGCATTTCTGTTCTGTTTTAATTTTATTAACGACAGTGACCACTTTCAGGGGTTTATAATCTTTGCACGCGCGTACACGTACAATTATTAAAAGTTGGGAGTTTCCGAATTCTATACCTTCGTAGTTTGGGAAAACTGCAGGTGTTTCAACAATCAAATATCTGTTGCAACGATTCTCCTAAACCTTCTAAGTGATACCGCAGTTATTTTTAGTTTTTGCTTATACCTACAAAAGTGAACAAGTGTTCCCTATAGTGAATTCCATGTTAGTTTCCATTTTAAGTAAAGAGTAAAAATACAGCTTAAGCTTCCTTTCGTCTTGCGGTAAATCAAGAAATAATACATTGACTTTCTGACGCACTCCTCAGAATGGTGGATTTTCTACACACAAGAAAATAATAAACTTTTCTTTAGGACCCCTGATATTTCACCAAGAATATGCTTGTTAAAAATGTCGAAATCGTATAGATTCGAGAAAAACATTCGACTATTGCGTCGCGCCCGAGTTGAAGTATTGGCATTTGAAAGAAAATATCCGACGAGGATTAAATAAAGCTGGCAACTAATGGTCACCAAAGTGACCAATTCACTTGATAACTGGAGCAGCATTTCCTCAACACGTTCTTCTCGCTAACTTCTTTAACAATTGCAACTGACTATTCCAAAAACAAAACCGTTTTTTATTTTAGGTATCTCCCTATTAGTACTGAAATTAAAGTTTTGCATCTTAAATTAAATTTGTCATTTAAAACTTTCAATTTCTATTTCAAACATATATCAATGACAAAAAGACAATTACACCATAAATAAATTATTCTGCTCAAACCCATGTGTTGTCGATTTTCTCACAAATAGAAACACAGCGTAAGGTTTGTGTTTCTCCGGAGGCTTGTGCAAATAGTTCAGTTATTACGTGCAATGACTGTATTGTAGCCCGGCGTCCGAACCACTTCCATTTCCATTTCAATGGCTTAGGATTGGAAAATACTATTTGCTTTTCTTCGATGCATACGTTTTATTAAGGTATAATTTCCTCGACTGTCGCTGAGATCTCCTTGGAATTGCCAAAAGAAAGATATCGTTGTAGGATTTATTGAAGCTTGAAAGATTATCATCAATGTCGGGCTTAGTAAATCAGGAAGGTTGGTCGGCATATAAATAATAAAAATAGTAATAATATACATATATAATAATACATAAAATAACTCAAACAAATCGTTCAAATTTCTTAAAGTTTTACTCAATATTAAAAAGTATCAGTTATTGTGCAATGCTCCGAGGTTTTTCTCGTATTCTCCGAGTGAGCTACTATAACTTCTTTAAAGGAATGGCGCCAATTTTGAATCACCCTTTACATATACATTTACTTTAATTTCCTGAAGCGATGGAAAATTTTCAATTCGTTTGAAGAATGACTACTAGCGAGTGCTGTTACTTTTTATCCAATCTCTGTGGGCCTTTAACTTCTACCTACATTATTGTTCTCGCTGGAAACACCTCAAGAATTAACGCCTGCCATTAGTCTTTATCGACTGTCGATTCGAAAGGATTTACCAATTTTACTGCGCAATTTCCTAGAGAATCGTTTAATTTTGCCTCGACTTTGGTAGATGTTTATTTTTCATGCACTTGATGAATTTGTATTTTGATTTGTCATGTAGGATATTTTCCTTTTACCAACTACCTATTTTAAAATTGAACCTTTCTTGTTAATAGATTTTAAGTTTGAGCAATTATCTAACATTATTTAAAAATGTTTATTTTTCACTAATGTTACTAGTGTTATTTTGCATGATCTTATTCACATAGACTTTTTTATAAACTTATCAGTTAATAATTGGTGAACGTGGAAAATCCAAAAAAAAAATCGTAAATAACTCTGAAATATTTTTCGTTAATGGGAAAAAACATACCCCCTGAGCGCAGAAGTATATAGAAACCTATTTCAATTTTATTTTAAAATCGTGCTGTATGAATGATGATGTGGAGAATATTGATAGATCAAAGCTTATATTTTCTCGGCTACGAAAACTGAAAAATTCCGGTCACGTTGGCTTCTCTCCTCTCACATGGGAGTATGTTGCCTTAACAGATTCGTATCGTACATTCGGTCTGATGTGAACTTTTAAGGAAAAAATAACCAAAGAATTCCGGGTCATAAACTAAAACGGTAACAGCAGCACCGGCTTTTCGTTATATGGCTTCCTTGGCACGTTCGGGAAAAATAAATGTGTGTAATAATTTGAAACTACTACCAGAACCTTTCAATGCGTTATATCTTTAACTTCTGTACGTAAGAAGACTTTTTAACGGTATTAACTGAGCCCATTGAGTGTTACGTTTTACGATCAGACTTTGCATTTCATAACCAGAAAACAGCATTTTCGAATTATCTTCAAAAATATTTTATTAATTAATTCATGTTTTAATTGATTCATCTTGCCATTATTTAAACTCTGTTTTACCCCTGAATAAGGAAATACATTTTCCGCTTGGTGAATGATTGAGATTGTTTTTTGACTACTACAACAGGACGATCCTTATAGCAAAATTTGTCTCGCAGACATGGCCAAAAGTGTCTTGTTTGCCTGGATGAAAACAACGGTAAAATCAACCACAAGTCAGCGTAAAATCTACAAAATACACAAACCGCCATTTAAAGTGATAAACCAATTAAAGGTCTCGCACAGCTTTTTCTAATCACAAATTTACATAAAGTTAATATAAAGTAATAGTTGAAAAATTCTCATAACTATCGGTGCTTCAGGTTTTCTCGTTGCATCAGCAATTCTGGGATAAACTCGTACTATTATGATTCCCAAACCTTATATGCAGGTGGCATCGCTTTGAAAACGCAATTGAAAAAAATTTTCTCAAACATTGACTTCTCAACTGAAGAGAAATCAGAACTTAGACTTTTAATTTTGCCCGTTACTTTCCTCGATTTACACCTAAATCAACAGATGTGCGCGTAATGTTAATAAGCAAACATTTAATTGCGGTGACGATCATATTCAATTGCGGCTGCGATACAATTTATGATTCTTTTTTTAACAAATAGTATCAGTTTGCTATAAAGTTTCCAATATATTTGTCAAAATTAGGAAAACCCAGAAATATGTAGGAGAAACTGTTTAAACATATGATTTATTGTTCTACTCAAACGCCCTGGAGACATAACGGCAACTATAATTCCAAATAAAAGTTTTTTTTGAATTCCAATCAGCAGAAGAAACTAATGTATGTGTACAAATTTTATTGTACTTATACATACGTACATACAACATGTACAACGACATATTATTTTTAATTGTAACTCGATTAATAATAATCAGCTGTATTTCAAAAGATGCTCAAAAGGATACTTTACTACTTTGTTACTAAAAGATTTTTACAGTCGTGCAAACATTTCAAGGTGTCACTAACAGGCAGTCAAAGCGAATTTTAATATTCATATCATGTGAACCGACGACTGCAGTCGCCATACCATTTTTTAGAAACTGTGTGTTGGACTCTTTGGAAAAATTGTATCTAAATGACTACGGTCATCTACGGCATAATGGGGTGGCGCCACCTCTTGCAGAAACCACACATTTATGTCCTAGTTTATTAAGTGGGGTAAATAGCTTCTTAAAAAGTCGGTGMACATGTTTCTGTTTAAATGTTTTCACAAAAACGTGGACCAATAATTCTATCTTTAATTATACCACACCGAACATGTGCGAACAAAGATRTTGATTGGACAAAGTTCTGATTCAGTAAGAATTTTTCTCCGCCCAATAATGCATGTTACGTCTGTTTACCTTTAAAMAAATATAAAAAAAATGTTTTTCAATGCCGTAGATTTTATTTGTAATTATCCTGCCCCCCTTATAAAATACAGGTTTGTCAGAAAAATGAGCGTTTCCAAAAATCTGGCATTGTC